AGAATGTGTAAAAATAGAATTAAATAAAATGATAAAATAAAATATTTTTAAAAAGGTTTTTATGTAAATAATAATTTAAAAAAGAAAATTATACAGAACACATCGATATACGCGAATAAACTTTATCTATAGAAAAAATTTTTTATTTTTTATATAATATAGAGAAAGCGCGATGATATAGAAAAATGAAGGTAAAATAATAAGGTAGAAAAAAAAAGTTTAAATAATAAAAGTCCTTCCCGTTTTTATACAATTTTTCTCATTTTTTAAGAAATTATGTTAGTATTTACATAAAAGATCCTTAAATACAGTTATATTTTTATATATTATGTGTATATAATGTATGTATCAATATACGTACGTGTGTACATAAAAATTAAACAATTTGCATATAAAGAATTGTAAGAAACTGTGGTTTAACTACATACATACATAGCTATTCAGCTATTTGATAATTAGTGTACTACTTATGTACATTAGGTAGGTATTTGTCTATTAAATGTACTATAATTTTTAAGCTATTGCTTGTATTATATATGATTACACATGTTTTGTTATATGTATACATATATATATATATATCGTATGTATATATGCATATAGTATATATGTATATATGTATGCAATATTTTCAGTATTCTTCCATCATTATTTTTAGAACAAAGGAGAATAAAACTGACATTGAATTTTGTATAATAAGTATATTAATAAAGTATGTATATTAAACTAAGTATTTATTGTACATATAAACATATATTTATAATACATATTATTTCATACCTTATGAATATTCTGAATTTTTTAATATAAATAAGTTTGCCCAAAATACATATATATTATTACATATAATATCACTTCAGACGAAAAAGATTTATAAATACAAAATTTAGAATTTTCGGTTTTTGTTTTGACTTCTATTTAAGTTTTAAGGTTATGGTATCAGAAGAGGTTATGGTTAAAATAATGAAATGTCAATTATGAAAATGAATGATATTATTAACAATGAATGAATAATTGAAGAATTTAAGCATAATTTATTTAAGTTTAACATTAAATTAGTTTAGGAAACTTTAGATAAGTTTATATTTGCTAAGTTTTATATAATTCAACTGTAGTAAATTAAAATTTATGTAGGTGTTCTTTTTGATATTCATCAATATTATATTCTTTTTGATATTTTAAGTTTGTAATCATATTTGCAGCATTGCAGCCTGAAATTTCGCTTTTTTACTATACAGAAATTATACAATATTTATTATATTATATAGTTTATCTATTCGACTTGCATTATTGTACAATAATGCAAGTCGAATAGATAAACTATAAATCGTTTTAATAATTGAGGTCTGATATAATTTTTGAAATGCCAATAATTTCAAATTGACACTAATATACCAAAAACCAAGTGATTTCCCCAAATATCTAAAACACTCTGAAATAAAGTTTTTTCTCCTTCACCTCTCTTAATCACTGAAAAGACTGAAATAAACGTGAGTTAATATTCAAATAAAAATATAAAAGTAAAACTTTAATGTTTTATTTAAATTTTTTTAGCAAATCCTACAGCACGATTTTTTTTAAGCGTTTTAATGTTCACTCATATAAAATTATACATATATGTATGTTGATATCCCGCGATTGCCCATATATGCAATGTTAATAAATGTGTTATTAAAAAAGGACGAGCATATACAAATATATTTTGATTTCTTTATATATACATACATATATATATTTATATTTACATATATAACCAATTATAATCGTATTATAAATTTATAATGAAATAAACAGATTTTAAAACAATTTGAATATGTTGACATAAAACAATTTCTCAAAGTCAAATTCATAAATTTTAATAAGTTTTAAAACTTAAAAATTATATAAGGTGCCAAATGTACTTTAAGTTGAAAAGCTGCATGAATAAAAAAATAATTCACAATTGGCAAGAACATTTAAAAAAATATTTCTTCCTTTTATATTTTATTTAAATTTGGCTTGAAAATCACTTCAACTGTTGCGGAAAGGATAAGTGAGATATTCAACAAGTAGCAAAAATGTTTGAGTTTTTAAACTTAAATCCACTTGACATCAGCATGAATGTTTGTTTGAATTTAAAAAAATTTACAAATTTTAAATTGCTATTGAAAAAATCCTTACCAACTTTTAACTGTTGATTCAATATTTTCCAACAGGTTATCTTTAAAATTTTATAGATATTGCTACAATAATTTTAGTTTTGGGTCAGATCACACTATACATATTTTAATAAATCATTAAAATTTAAATGAAACAAATGAAATAGATTTAAAAATTGTAGACTTCCAATAAAATTTATGTCTCTCAATTTTATAAACTCTAACACTTTAATAACTCTCTACCATTTCCTTTTCCTTCCTCACTAAATGATGACAATTTTGTTGGGCAATCTGATAGCCGCATTTTGTGCGTCTAAATGATGATTGTTTAGGCTCTTTCGTGCAATGTTTGTCTACGTTATAATTGTTGCTTGGCCTAAGCAATTCGGGTGATAATAAATACAGTAAATGACCTAATATGTTAAAAAAGATAAAGATAAAATATTTTTTTTTGACAGGACATAGGAATGTAAAAAATTCATGCTAAAACACTACAATATATTATACAAGTGTATAACGCTTGAAAAGCACTGAGTTTTATTAACAGTATAATAAAAATATTAAAATGGAAGCTTACTTTAAATTTACCTTTTGTGTTGTGCGTCAAGAACATATTTTTACATTTTTTGATGTTGTTTAAAATAAAAATAATCAAATCAGGAAATATGCGTGCAATCATACGCAAGTGTTCATTTACACACAAACATACATATAATGTGTTATTGAAAGATAATAAAATTTTATACACTTACACACAATTTTTTATCATAATACAAAATAATGTACTTGAAATATATTGAATCAATAGAAATAAAAATGAAAATTTCGATTGCGTTTACATTCAATTTCATATACCTATTTTGTCGAACAATGGGAGAAGAGGAAAAAAATGTTGACTATTAATGAAATTGTTTTCCCGTTTCATTGTAATTTTCGAAAAACTCTACTCGATACATTAGTAAAATTACTTTGAACTCTATATGTACATATATCCATTTGTACCCATATAAGTACAAATTTGCTCTTCAAATGCTTCCCGGCGGAAAAAAAAATGTTTCTATTGTTTTGTTTGCCTAAGTGTTTCCTTGGATTGACGCGCCAACCTAAACAAAAACCTAAAACTTTTGTTTGGATGAATAATTTTACTCTTATTCTAAAAGCATTAGTGAATGGTAAAATAAATGTGTAAGTTTTGTTTTAATAAGAAAAAAATCTGATGTGATCGTCAGCACATAAACGACCGCAATGTGTATTGTCTGGTTAAATGAAAGTGTTACAGAATATTATAAAAATTCCTGTTAAATACTTCTTTCCAATTTTTAGGCCATTAGTAAGCCTATAGTTAATATACCTAAAAAATTTAAATTTGGCTCTTAGTAAAGTTTCGCTTTGTGCTACCCGAATTCCCTGAAATGCTCGTCAGTTAGTATCCGAGATTGGAGTTAGTTTCCAGACCAGTTTCCGAGCTCTGATCTTTCCATAAAATTTATTTGTTCGTTGCTTTAATACGAAGAATTTAAATATTAAATATCAATGAAATCGGTATGAAAAAATGGATATTTGGCCCGTAGTAAACGTCCTGTTGCTGATGCATGATTTCTTTCAAAAGTTAGAAGGTTTCGCGGACGGTCGAGCGAAGTTTATATATGAAATTTCAAGTAAATCTGTTGAATATTTTCTTAATAATGAACAAAATTGTAAAACAGTGAAATAAACTTACACATCACATTTCATCAAAATCGGTTTAGCCGAACTCGAGATACAGTTGTGCACACATAGACAGACAGACCGACAGACCGATAGACCCACAGACCGGCAGACCCACAGATCGACAGATTGCTAAAAAATAGTTTGTTTACACTTCCCTAGCATGGAGAAGTGCTTTCTCACCGAAAACTCGATATGCAAAATTTGTTGCCATCACATAATCTAACTATTGTTTGCACAATACGGTGGGCAAAAAATAAAATCTAAAAATGACAAATAGAATCATAGATACATTCGTTTTAGAAACTAAATAGGTAAGAAACCTATGTGAGTCGAGTAAAACTTTCATTTTTTTCCTCCTGGATTTTCATTTTATGAGTAGAGTTACTCCTATCCACGCTCAATTTTATATATAAAATGTTTCATTATTATTCAATATTCCTTGTATAAACATATTTATTTTCAATTTTAAAAATTTTGAAATTTCTCTATTTCGTTAAGTTGGAAGGCTTCTACAGAACTTTTTAAATTAGTTGAATGCGTATTGAAAATTTTAAATATTAAAAGAAACGTTGACACAAAGAATACTATAAATCAATTATTAAAAATGTATATTTTATTAATACACATAGAAACAAATTATAAGTTAATATCGCCTCAATCACATACATATATTTAAATCTGTTATGGTTATTTTCAGGTAGAATTTTCTATAAATAAACTGACCTCATTAAAAATTTAACCTAAATTTTGTCTTCTTTTAATTTATGATTTTTTATGATAATCAGAATCGATTCACCCAAATAATGCATGTATTTTCTATATATTTTCCTTTTTCTATTTGAATTTTGTTACATAATTTCCTATTATATTTAATATTCCATTCATTATGTGTAATTTATAACAAATTAACTATAGAGTTTTTTATTCAAACCTTAGCATGAAATTTCATTTAACCACGGTAGATGTTAAAAGTGAATGAATTTTTTTTTAATGTAATTTATTGATTATTTCGGTAGTTAAAAAAATTTAGAGAAAATTTTTATTATTAATGTTTTGAATGTTTAAGAACTAATACAAATAATATTTTTATAAAAATAAATTCGTAAAGCAAAATGTATTAAAAATGCACATTAAATTAATTAAAAATATTAGTTACTACATATCACAAATGGAATCGAGCACTTAGCAATTAAAAATTGATGTTTAAAAATCAAAAGCACTCATTACACCCAGATCAAATTTCGACGTTATCAAAGAATAGATTTTAATAATCAAAAAAAAAAAAAACTAAAAACAAACATAAAAAATTAAAATAAACATAAAAATTATAAATAAATATGGCTAATACTGCTCAACTCCTACGCAGGCAAAGTTCTAGGGATTTACACTTAAGAACTCAAAGAAGTATCGATAATCTAGAATTAAAAGTAAGTAAAAATTAATCAAAAAAATTTTATTTATACAAAAATGAAATTTTTTCTTTTTTCCAATAGGAACTACGTGGACGTTTAGTTAGAGCTGAAAATGGTTCTAGAGATTCAGTACCTTTATATGGTGCAACAAATCAGGGATTTATATCAGATGATAAGGATCCAGATAAAGACAATGTTATATTTGGAGATCCATTGACCCCACCACCGCAACAGCATCAATCTCAAACTATAACAAAACAACCATCGACAAATATACCACTAGAGGATATAGTTCAAGAAGAAAAACAAGAAGATGAACGTGAAAGTTGGGATAGTAAAATTATGTTTTTACTTGCAACCATTGGGTAAAATAATATTTTCAATTCATATACCTTTATTTGACTATATAAATTATAAAATTATAAAATATTTGTAGTTATGCAGTTGGACTCGGAAATGTTTGGAGATTTCCGTATTTAGCACAAAAAAATGGTGGCGGAGCATTTTTAGTTCCATATTTCATTATGTTATGCATTCAAGGTATACCAATTTTTTATTTGGAATTAGCCGTTGGTCAACGATTACGTAAAGGAGCTATCGGTGTTTGGAATCAGGTAATTATAGTCACAATTTGGAAATTTATTATAGTTGTTGTTATTAATTATAGGATTTTGTTAATTTTCTTTTAGGTATCACCATTTCTTGGTGGAATTGGTATATCATCGGCAGTAGTTAGTTTCATAGTTGCATTGTATTATAATACCATTATAGCTTGGTGTCTAATATATTTACTACACAGTTTCGAATCTCCATTACCATGGGCCGAATGTCCAACTCGTTTATATAAAAATTTTACATACGATTACGAACCTGAATGTGAAGTAAGTTAACCTTTTATGTGATTAATTTACATTTTATAATAATACTAGTTATATACAAGTAATTATTTAAATATTCTTCAATTAAACTGTTTAAAGGCATCATCACCTACACAATATTACTGGTACAGATCAACTTTAATGTGTTCCGATAGCGTTAATGAGCCTGAACAATTCAATTACAACATGGCCTTAGCATTAATAGTTTCTTGGTTTCTAGTTTATATCTGTATGGTACAAGGAATAACATCATCAGGAAAAATTGTATACATGACAGCCCTGTTTCCTTATGTTGTCCTAATAATATTCTTCTTCAGAGGGATTTCACTTGATGGTATGTAAATATTCATATCAAAACCGAATACTTGCCAAAAACATTGTTAAAAACTAAATTATTTTTAACATTAATCTTTAGGTGCGAAAGATGGAGTCTTGCATTTATTTACTCCACGTTGGGAAATATTATTAGATCCCGTTGTATGGCTTGAGGCCGGTACACAAATATTTTTCTCGTTGGGTTTAGCATTTGGAGGACTAATTGCGTTTAGGTATTATTAAATGACAAACTGTGAGTAAATTTTGTTTCTAACTTGAAATGATATTGTTATCATTTTATTTAGCTCTTATAATCCAGCAAACAATAATTGCTTCCGTGATGCAATTCTAGTTTCAATGACAAACTGTGGAACATCAATGTTTGCTGGGGTCGTGGTAAGTATTTTATTCTATATAAAATGTAATATTATCTCACCAAGTAACAATACAGGTGTTCTCTGTGATTGGCTTTAAAGCTCACAAAACCTACGATAAATGCTTGGAAGATAGGAGACATCTTACTGAAAAAAATATTACTTCAAATTTACCAGAGTGTGATTTACAAAAGGAGCTAGCTAACGTAAGCATTTCTTTTAAACATAATTTTAAGGGAATAAAAATGTTACGAATTTTTAGAGCGCTTCTGGTACGGGATTGGCTTTTATAATATTTACGGAAGCGATCAATCAATTTCCCGGTGCGCAATTATGGGCGGTTTTGTTCTTCTTAATGCTCTTTACATTGGGAATTGACTCCCAATTCGGAACATTGGAAGGTGTTGTAACATCCTTAGTCGATATGAAACTATTCCCAAATTTGTCTAAAGAGCACATAATTGGAGTAATACAAACTTAACTTTAAAAATTCAGTAATTGAATACAGATAAATGATAAAAACTTTCATTCTAGATACTCTGTACTACATGTTGCCTCCTATCAATGGGATTTGCTCATGGGGCCGGAAGCTATATATTTCAATTAATGGACAGTTTTGCAGGAAATTTTCCTTTGTTAATAATAGCATTATTCGAATGTATTTCAATAAGTTATGTATATGGTATTAGAAGGTTAAAGTTTTAAGCAAAACAATTATTGCTTTTATTTACTTTTACTTATTATTTTACAGATTTTCAGATGATATAGAATTAATGACTGGATCCCGTCCGTCCTTCTATTGGATGTTTTGTTGGAAGTATTTATCACCTGTGGCGATGATTACAATTTTATCAGCTAGTTTTTATGATTTAATGACAAATGGAAGCAGTTATCCAGCGTGGATTGCTGCTAAAGGGATGACCGAAGAAAGTGAATGGCCACATTGGTGTCTAGTAACTGCAGCCTTATTAATATTTTCGTCTATATTATGGATACCTTTTGTAGCTATTGCAAGGTAATTAAATTATTTTTTTTTTATATTTTATTTTAATTTTTTTTTTTATTTTAGACTGTGTGGTTTTACAATTGTCGAAGAAACAGATCCTGCATGGTTCCCTTCAGCCGAGTTAAAAGAAGTTCACGGTATTGTACCACATGAACCTACGGATCTTGAAAGAACTTTATTCTGTTTTAATTCGGATGGAACAGAAGGATTTTGCTGTCCCACTTACGGTTTACCAGAAAAAACTTTAGAAGAAGAGGAATAAAAAGATTATATAAAAACAGGTAAATGTTATAAAAATATTTTAATATTAATTAATATACTGAATACAAATTAAGCCCCAACGGAGTCCATATAAATATGCGCGCAACAAAACAAACAACAAAAGGAAAAATTTTAAGAGAAAATCAATGCTCGATAAAAAAAATAATTGTAGCTATGTATATAACTTTAAAATTAGTGTAAAATACTGTTATATTTAGAGGGAACCACCGACTCACACGTGACCAGACAATAACATTGGTTTTGAAACAAACATGCCTCTCAAATTATAATTCTTCTGACCAATTTAATTAAAATAAGTTTTAAACAAGAGCCCATTTTGATTCTTTTTTGAACTTGTACTTATTTTGTAGTTATGATAATTTTCTTCTATTAGATTATATAATTATTTCAAAAGACATATGATTTTGATAGCTCATATATTGAGTACATGAAAGTACTGTGTATTTGTATAATTACATAGCCGGTCTAAAATATAAAGAATTTATGTATTTACAATGCATATTGAATTAATATCTGTTATACAATATTACAAACCATTTGCAATCAACTACAAGAAACACTTCGGGTGATACAATTTTTAAGTGCATTATTCATTAAATATAAAATTATCTCGAAATAATCAATTTTTCAAATTATGTATTTCAATTACACAATTCAAAATATTTCGCTAACACTTTATGAATTCAAATCGAATTTTATGCAGCAACATTATAATATTATATAAATACACAGTAATCTCTATTCTTTTAAATACCATAATTTGTTTGTGAAATATTTTTAAAAAAGTTCACGTAATATAAAATTTAAGAAAAATAATCAATATATATTTTAATATTATTCGCTTAGTTGTACATTATTAAAAATGTTAAAGCATTTTTTAAGAACCTGTGTTAAAAAATATATTATATTCTGTGATTTTAACGAACTAAATTCCTCCGGCAATATCCCTCTAATATCGTAAATAAATAAATTATAAAATACGATATAATTTTAATTAAATATACGTATAAATAAATATCTCATGTGTAAAAAAATTAGATGATTTAAAACGTTAGAAAAATATATTAAAAATTCATAATAATTCAATAATAGATTCATACTGCTCCAGTTTAAATAAATCTAGTTTTATCATATTTTTGATTTTCGAAATTTTATTTTTAATGTACGCCAAAATTGAAATTTTATTTAATACCAAGAAAAATTCAATTCCATGTTCTTATAAAAAAAAATATTATATCTTTGCTATTATAGTTCAAAATAATAATATAAATTAATTATTAGCAAATTCATATTTGTAATTTCTTAATTTGTTTCTAAAGAACAAAAACATAAAAGAAACCTATTTCCCTTTATTATTGCATATCAAAAACTTGCATTCTTTTCACATTTTCTAATTTTAGTTGCAAATATTAAAACAAAAAATTTCGAAAATGTAGAATTTTATGTACGGAATATTAAAAAAAAAATTAACGAAATTAATAAAAAATGTATAAAACTTACGAGGCTATTGCCAATTAATTAATGTATAAAAATATATATAATATGTATGTATTATATAATAAAATTTATAATTGATATTATATAAAAAAAAGGAAAAAAAGAAACTATTTTTTAAGAACAAGAACTAAAAAAAATAATTTTAAAGACTTAAAAATTACAATAATTTACTCATAATGAAAAAAATAAGCAATTAGTGCAAAAAATTTCAAATAATAAAAATAGAAAATTATTGTACATATATGCCTATATACTTACATTAATATTATATAAAAATAGAATGAAAATAACTAAATTAATATATATGTTCATTATTATTAAAGAAATATTTAAAAATTTTTGACTTATTTGCAGAATATGTAAAAGTACCAATTTTTCTATTTAATAAAAATCCGGTTGATTATTTTACTTAATCTAAATTATCAATTAAAATTTTAATTATTTAATTAAAATATATGGAAAAAAATTATAATATATTTTCAGAGTTACTTGATTAAGTTCCACAAACATTACAAAAATTAGTAAAATAATATTTTTTTCAATATCTTCTTTTTCGAACTCTTTTTAAAACATAATAATAAATAAATGTGATTTAAATTTGCAATAAAAAATAAATGTCATCTTATATATTTGTATATAATATATAAATAGATAGTCATATAATTATCTTTAAATTGATATAGTTATTTCAAGATTGTTAAAAATGGTACATATAAATTTTAATTTTAAAAACATATCTTGTTTTAATGTAAATTAAATGTTATTAATTATTGTTATCTAAGTAGAAAATTAATTTTAATTTAAAAAATTATTTTATTTAAAATTGAAAATTTTCTTTAAAATTTAAATATTAATAAATTTTATCATCTATATTACATTTATATATGTATATAAAAAGGAAGTCTTATAATAATGTTGCTTCATATAACATAAAATATGTATATAAAACACAAAATAATAAATAAATGAAGCTATACTAAAAATGTACGTGTATTTGAACAAAATGCAAAAAGGTTTTAAATTATTATGAAAACAAAAAAAAATTGTAATTTCCATATATGCCTTTTTTTGTGAGATTTTATCTGTTGTTTTACATATAATATTATGAAATATGAATTTTAAACTTATAAAAAAAAATAATTAAAATATTAATTTGAAAGTTTCATAAATACTAAATTTTAAATATCCCATTTTTTATAAATGTTATTAAAATCACGATTCATCAGCGGTAGAATTATGATAGTCTTTTTTATAATGGTGTGAAATGAATTTATTAGTATAATATGTTAGGATGATAATTTGTGTAACAAGATTCTTATGCTAGTTTATGCTTAAAATATCCTAAAATACAATATTTTTAATTTAATTTTATTAAGTAAACGTTTTTGTTTTATTAAACAAACCTTATATAAAAAAATTTATAATGAAAAAAAATTATAGTATTTATTCTTTAAATTTTAGTTTTCTATAAAATGAAACTGTTTAAATGAAAATAATTTACTATCCAAATTTTTACTTGTACACATGAAATATGGTTATAACGTATATTGCTACATCAGAACAAATAATTGGAAGCAATGACTTTGTTCATAGATTAAATCAGTTCTAACTTGACGATTCTGTTAACGATATAATGAATAAATATGTATCATATCCATATGTATAAAAGAACAGCAATATAACTTTATGTTTTGCTTCCTCAATCCAAAAAACATTATAATATCATAAATAAAATTTCATTTAATTAGACTATTTAGGGAAAAATAACAATATAAAATTTAGAAACTTATAATAATTATTTTTATTAAAAAATTACAATAAATTTGCTTTTTTTAAATAAACAATTATTTTTATTTTACAATTTTAATGTTATAAACGGCGATTTTACCTAATAGAATGCAATTACAAATACTTTTTATTTTAAGATAGGGCAATATTTGTGGCAATAATATTTGAGTTTCAAAACATAATTACAATAATTTTTAATAGTAAAACCAGACAGACATAAAAAAATTAATAAATTATAAGAGTTAAAGTAAAATTTTGTAAAAATAGACTACAGTAGTTCAATAAAAACTTTTTTTTTTATAACAATTCATTTTAATTACAATGGTTTCTGATTCTCTAAAATACTTTGAGACAATCTTAACTTGGAAAACACAACATGTACATATAACTCGATATTACACTAATAATTTCATTTTATCATATTAGTTTTAAAACATTTAAAGGAAAATTAAAAGTTTTTAAATACGAATAAAAACTTTTGATGAAAAATTTAATCGCCGTTTTTTAAAGTAATTCTTAAAAGTAAGAATTTTTATTTAGATTTTATTTTACTATTAAATTTCTGAAAATATAATATTTTATATTGGAAAACAATATACATACATATGTATTTGTTTATTTTTTATTTATCATAAAAACTATATTTAGTCCTAATAATTATTCTTATTTTAAATTTATTTTATTAATCATCATCACTATAATTGTTTAACAATAAACTTAAGAGACAATAAATTCAAAGTTATACCTTTTTAACATAATAAAATATTATAAAAAATAAAACAAAATGTTCATTTTTAGCATTCCAAGTTTAAATAAAATAACAAAAAAAAAGAACGTATTTATATTTACATTAAAGAGTCCTGTATTCAAAATAAGATTTATTAAAATAAATTATGTATATATATACATAGATATAAATAAATATAATATATACGTATAAATATTTAAAAGATATTATATATATACGTTATTATATATAAATAAATATATACATATATATAATAACATTTTATTATATAAGTGTTTTTGATGTTAAAAGTTTCTTGTATTTATTTTAAAAACAAAACAAAAAAAAATCAAAAAATAATAAACATGCTAAAATAATATTATGAACGTTATTCATACTTTTAAATGTAACAAAATAAAAATCAGGAAAAAAAAATAATAACAAAAGAAAATGACAATAAAGTATTAAACATAAATTGAAATAGAAATTTGTTATTTTTAAAACTATTTTTTCAATTTGGAAATTTCTTCATTTTGCAGCATTTTAAGTTTTTTATTATTACTATCCTTTCGTTTTTTATGTTTATTTGATTTTAGATGTACACCCCACTGAAATTCTCCAATAAAATGTCTTTTACAAACTTCACAATAATTTGTAACCTAAAATAAAAATGAAAATTATTCATTATTCAGGGAAATATCAAAACACCTTTTACTCTGCTAATTTCAAACCCTTGACAAAATTATTCTTTTAATTTTGTCAAGGGTTTGAAATTATCAGAGTAAAAGGTGTCCGATCAAAACTGAGTATTTAATTTTGTTTTCTATTTTAAATCCAAAAGAGTTAATTATAAATTGTTAGTAAAGTTGTTAATTATTAGCCTTAAATCTGTATAAAAGTGACATTATTTAAATGCATTATATTTAGTTGCTACTAAAAATATAGCAAATATTAGATTGCAATTGACTTTTATCACAATTTTAATAAATTATAATTTTAAGTTCTGGCTATTATTTTCAATAACAATTTAATTGAAATTATTATTATAAATAATTTGCAGCATCGTATACGATCAATTTATTCGTACTAAATCAAAGTCAGATGCTCTTGTGCAGCAAAGGTAGGTTATCTTATTTCTGAATCAAATATCAAAAAACTCATTAGAAATATTTTACCTAACTAATTTATTTAAAAGAATTATTTTTTTTTAACAATTTTTTATGAACTTTTAACAATTAATGGAACTTTAATCATTGCCAAATATTATTTTTATAACCGTACGAACTTATGTTTGAGGGGTATACTAAATTTACCTTACCGTTTGTAACGCTAAGAAATAATGGTCTAAGATATAGATTCAAGTGTATGTTTTTGATCAGCGTCGAATTCTGTGTCGATTTAGCTTTGTCTGTCCGTCCCAGCGATAACTCAAAAACTAATTGAGCTAACTTCACCAAATTTTTACAAATGATTTATTGTAGTAAGTGCCAGAACCCTATTTAAATTGGACATGATCGGAGTACTGGTTCGTGTAGCTGCCATACAAATTCATAATTTATTTAACCATATCTTAGAAACTATGAAAGTTGTGGTATTGAAATTTCGTACAAGTAAATATATTAGTAGGGCCAAATTGTTTGAAAAAAGTCATTGAAATTGCTTCGCTCCTTGTGGTAGCTGCCGTACTACTTCAATAGTAGTTTGGCCATATCTTATAAAACATTAAAAACACAGTACTGAAATTTTGCATAAATTAATATGGTAATATGGCAACTTAAAGTCAAACTTAGTCAGCTATGGGATATTCATAACTCACGCATAGGATAACATATTCGTACGGGCATCACAGAGTTGACCGCGTCAACTCATGTAAAATAAACCTCGAATTAAATTAGTGAAATGAATGTTTTCTAAATGGTTTAACATTTTGCTTAGAGATTATAGATTTTTGTCATCAGAAGAAAAATTGTTGAACGAAATTATAATTACAAATTAGCTTTAATTATACAGATAGTATAAAATATCAATAATATTATAGAACCTTACAGATAAGACAAACCTACGAATTTACTTTAGTTTGTTATTTATATTATTACAGCATGTTGAATTAATAAAAATAATAAAATGTAGTGATTATTACTTCTTCATTTAATCCACTTCCCGGATGCTTTATATGTTTTAATGGTTGTATAGTACATGATTTTCCTTCAATAAATGTTTCAATAACATGAATAGCTTTCTTTTGAACTTCGTTTTCCCATTGATTAACATCCGATGTATCTAGTTTATATATTGGTGGTACTTGTCTGTCTTTACTAGCTAAAAATCGATTTTTAATCCATTTGATTTGTTTTTTTGAATATCTTTGTGTCACCAATTTTAATTCCTCAAGGCAATTTAATAATATTGTCATACCTTCTGGTTTATTTTGGTCGCAGTCTTCTAAAATATAATATTAAATAATTTGGATGGTTAATTTATGCTTAAACATTTTAAAATTTCAAATTTCATTGAATTTTTAAATTTTTTTGGCAACCTTTTATTTGAAAATTGTTTTCTTTTAAATATTTTCCAATAATTTCATCATGATTAGAATCGAATTGTTTCAAATATGGTATAAACTCCTTAAATCCAATACTTTGAAGAATTCCTTTTGTATAACTGTCGTCCCTATAATGAAAATGTATTAAAGAAAATTTTTAAAAGGATTTAATAAATTTATTTATACTTTGTTTCCATAAAATGAATATTATAGAAATTCCTTATTTCCTTAAGCAAACCCTGTTTCAGCATAGAATCAACCCTTTTGTTCAATCTGTCATTTAATACATCCTGGAAAAAAATATTAAAAATTGTTGGATAAAATTAATTTAAGATTATTTAAAATTAAATTATAGATTTTTAACAATACAACTCTTTACAATATTGGGAACTTGAATTCAAGCAAAACGCTTCACCCCTGCATTAAAGCGTCAGAGTATAAATATTTTTTAATTAGTTCAAATTTGAATATTTAAGTTGTGCGTAACAGAAAATCGCTAAAAGTAATCTTTTTTTTTTCCTCTTCATAACTAATAAATTTTTTACGTGAAATTTTAATTAAACACAAAATATGCATATTCAATTAATAATCTAGAATTATAAGGAACAAAAAAAATAACTTTTAATTTTTTATATTAAATTTTATTAATTATTTTAAAATAGACTTATGGAAAAAGATAAAAATTTTACATCTCATGAATATTTGAAACATTCTTCTTAGATTCTTTCATCACGCATTAAAATTTATAAATAATTGTTGAAGAAACTAAAGGAAAGTAAAAGCAAAAATTCGAGTTGTTCTTGCATATAATAATGTTTGTTCTCGAATAGTTTTTTTTCAAATTAAATATAGTTAAACTAAAAAATCAGCATACAACCTTGTATAAACAAAAACTATATTGAATATGATAGAAATAGTAATTTGAAACGAACAAATCATAATTTTTATATTTATACATCGGACATTCTCCGATTTCTATCTTTATTATCATACTTTAATTCTAATAAAACTTGTTTCTCAATTATTTGGTAAATGTATTCTTTTCCTCTCCACGTATTCAACCAGAAATGCAGAGAGTGAACGAAAGGCGCAAAGAAAACTAATAATGAAATCAAATAATTGAAAGCATAGTAAACCAAATCAAATCTGTTGCAATATAAAGATATATGAAAGCGATCTTTAAATAAAATTAAGCAAACTTTTAACAGAGCTACAATAATCCCTACCATTGAAGACAAAAGCGCGACATTGAAGTAATAATAAAAACTTTCAAAATATTGGAGCAAATTAAACATAATTTTTTAATTTGTTTGCTATTACAAATTGCTCAGCTAGTTTGAAAAAAATTTGATTTTAAATCATTGCGAGTTCTCATAAATTTTCATTATATTTCATTATTTTTCAACAAATCAATAAGCATTAAAAGCAAAATAAATTCCTAATTACAATCCTACCTAATTTAAAAAGAAAATTCTAAACGAAATTTTTTATTAATTATTTCCTTTCAAACTTTTAACATATTTTTAATTACAAATATTTAAACAACAATAAAAGGAGGATAGAAGAACAAAAACAAAAATAATTCTAAATAAAGATTGATGAGCACAACAAAACTAATCAAGCAGCCTTTGTATCTTATTTTGATTACTTATACAATTTTATTGTACAACATGATTACATACGTATCTCCACTTTTTCTATTCCATGATTTAATTAAAAAACGAGAAAAAAAATAGAGTTGACCTTGTCAACTCTGTGATACCCGTACGAATTTGTTATCCTATGTGCGAATAACTAATGTGCCATAACTAACTATGGGGCAGACTATGACTTTAAGTTGCCTTATTACCATATTAATTTATGCAAAATTTCAGTACTATGTGTTATTCAAAATACTGGTTGTGCCAAACTACTAATGATGTTGTATGGCAGCTACCAGAAAGAGCCAAGAAATTTTAGCGAATTTTATCAAGCACATCGGCCCTACTAATATACTCACTTGTGTGAAATCTCAATATCACAGCTTTTATAGTTTCTGAGATATAGTCAAATAACTTTTGAAGTTGTATGGCAGTTACCAGAAGGAGCCAAGTAATCTAACGACTTTTATGAGACACATTGGCCCTACTAATATATTCGTTTGTGTGAAATTTCAATACTATAGCTTTAATAGTTTCTGAAATATAGTCAAATAACTTTTGAAGTTGTATGGCAGGTACCAGAAGGAGCCAAGTAATTTCAACGACTTTTATGTGGCATATTGGCCCTACTAATATATTCACATGTGTGAAATCTCAATATCACAGCTTTTATAGTTTCTGAGATATAGCCAAATAACTTTTGAAGTTGTATGGCAGGTACCAGAAGGAGCCAAGTAATTTCAACGACTTTTATGGGGCATACTGGCCCTACTAATATATTCGTTTGTGTGAAATTTCAATACCATAACTTTTATAGTTTCTGAGATATAGCCAAATAAATTTTGAAGTTGTATGGCAGCTACCCGAACCGGTAACCCGATCATGTCCAATTTAAATAGGGTTCTGGCACTTACTACAATAAATCATTTGTGAAAATTTGGTGAGCTTAGCTCAATTAGTTTTTGAGTTATCGTTCGGACGGACGGACGGACGGACGGACGGACGGACGGACGGACGGACGGACGGACGGACGGACGGACGGACGGACGGACGGACGGACGGACGGACAGACAAAGCTAAATCAACTCAGAATTTGACGCTGATCAAAAACATACACTTGAGTCTATATCTAACACCGTTATTTCTTAGCGTTACAAACGGTAAGGCAAATTTAGTATACCCTTCGAACATACGTTCGTACGGGTATAAAAATGTAAAAAATTTAAGATTTGTGCTTTGCCAAAATATCTACATAATAAGAAATTAAATAATGAAAAAATAAAAACAATAAAGAAAGCAACAACACAAAACACAACTAAAAAAAAAAAACGAAAAATTAGAATTGAAACGAGAAATGCGAATATAGAAAAAGGTTAATAAAACTTCAACCTTGTAAAGCATATTGACACCGGCCGACACCGGGTCTTTTGAATTATTTTCTCTTTTTATATTTTCTATTATTTTTTTTTATCTAACATAAAAAAAAACTCACTTTATAACGCTCAAATGGCGTATGTATTTGTATTTTTATCGCAATATAAACTTTATCCGTACTCGTTTGTATGAATGTGTTAATACTAAATTTTTTAATTTTGTTCTCACTTATGTTAAGCGTTTTTGTTAAATTTTTGAGTTGTGGTTACGCATATTAACTTTTGCGTTTTGTTTTTTTTTTTTTTTGTTATTATTATTATATTAAATAATTATCATTTAAAGAGTTTGATCAATTTGAATTGGAATACTTACAGAAGTAAATTTCGTTAAGTCAACAGATTATGTTAATAATGAAAATAATTTTTTTACAATAATTTTATTTATACATATTTATAAAGAGTTTCTAATTACAGGGCTTTCAACAGAGATAGGTTTTATAAGCTTTTTTACAATAATTATTACTTACTATAAATGAAAGAAACTTTCTTACACGGTCATTATATCGCATTTGTCATGCATTAGAATAAAAATTGAGTGTCGGAATAAATTCTTGTGTCTATATTTTCAATTAAGTTTGCGAAACCAGTTATGCGCACATAGTGTTAGATATTTAATTGTAGATTGATAATAGAGGCGATAATGTAATGCGACATAACCGATTTATTGTACCCCCGCCCTAAGCGCCTAGTGTCTTACCTAGAGAGCTTTCACATACTCAAATACCCTTACGTTTCAAATGAATCCAACCAAGCTGGCCAGGCCAATATCCTGGAACTACATGTTAACAAATAAAAACGCAGTTTTTGTAAATGAAACATTTTGCCGAAATGTGTAAAGAAGAGTTGACTTTATTGAAATTTTGCATTTGAACTTAAAGTTGCCAAGAAAAAAAATCAAATTTATCGTTATTCTTTTGTCAGTACTGCAGTAGTTTTCATTTTATAATTTCATTCGCGATTAAATTGCATATATTTACAGCATTTTGTTAAAATACGCGAGAAAATCGTTTTTGGATTTCTTTCCAAGAAATTTCGAATCTGAATTGCAAATATTGCTGTATTGCAAATAATTCTATTCAAATGAAATTGAGTGTTGGTCATTGATACAAAAATTTTATATAAACAACAAAAATAATATTAGATAATATTTTAATAATAATAATAAATTTTTTTCTTATCTCTTATTTCAATTACTTTACTCATTACTTTTTCAAATATAGGAACATAAAGACAAAAAAAAAAAAAATATTTTTCTAACACCTTAAATTTTTTTTAAAAAAGAATAAACTGACTTTTTCCTTTTATTTTTCTTTACCATTTTTTTTTTCAATAATTTTAAAAGTCAAGTAACTCACACGCAGCACGCATTTTATTAGTAAAATTTGACTCATTACTTCTTTCATTCTCGATCATATTGAAAAAATTTCGAAGCTCGATTAAGCAGTACGAAACTCATAAGAAAGAAAAAAAAAGAATAATTGCGTTCAAAATGCGAAATTAGAAAAAAAGTAAAATAAAAAAATCTATAAAAATCTAGAAAAGAAATAAAAAGAATAAAAATAATACGCGGCGAAACAGGTTGAAAATATTGATATTCCGATGTTAATGTACTTATTAATTAGGAATGAACAAAAAAAAAAAATAAGAAAAAAAAAAACTTTTGTTCTTGACAATAAATTTAGAATAAATTTTCTTAGACATAACAAATAAGTTTTTGTTATGTAATTTTCATTCAGAATCGTTTTATCGATGAGCACCGAATGAGTGAATGAATATTTTTTTTTTTATTTTGAAAAGGTCTATAACATCTGACGACCGATAAATACTACTCAATGTTAAAATTATGTATGTGTATGTGTATTTGTATATATACTTTTATTTAATACATGCGTGGTATTTACGAATGATTTAAGCGTAAATGATTCCAACGTCTAAAAAAAAAGATTTTAGTTTTTTGTTTCGTTCTTTTTTTGGTTTTGATTATTGTGATTGGAAAATTTTAATAAAATTCTTGTTCTTAATTAAATAAAAAATATTTATACATGCACACATTTTTTTTATTTAAAACAACTTTATTATTAAATATCTTAAATTTTTTTTTTGCTTTTAAAGATGCGAAAAAAAACATGATTAATTTTTTTTTTTTTAGAAAAAAGTGAAATTAAAAATTTTAAAATTTTTTCTTCTTTAAATAAATTTTAGGTTTTTAAACTATTA